CGCGCGGGTGTCTTTAGCGCTTGGCTTCGCAAAAGTGGCAAAAAGATCTCATCATTTCACTGTCGCTTCTTAAAGTTACAGACAATGAGGAATTTAGGCTAAGCAACATAAATTTCTCTTCCATCAATGAAGAGCTTTCCTCTAGTGAAGCGTACTTTTTTACCTTCGTCATAAGCTTGTTTCATAAGTGGAAGTGCTTTCTTGCGGGCGTGAAGTCACTAGGTGTAAAGTCCTCTACAATTCTTACCCCTTGTAGTACATGTATTGCGTTTCCATCTGCACTCTTTGCTGCTTGTAATAGACTTTTTTTAAAAGGCCTGCTTTAGAGCCTTATGATGATAGGTCTTGGCTTATCGTTTCGTTTTTTCCCGGTGCGGTGGGCATTCTCTATCTCCGCAGTTGCATTCTCGAAGCCAAGAGAGGTGATAAGATCCGTAATTATTGTCATACACTCTTCTCCTTCATCTTCATTGAATCCAAGCACTCGAATATTAAAATCCCTGAAATATCGTCCTAGATGTTCCAGTCTCTTCTTAAGCTCATCATTGTTTCTACGAAGGGCTTCTACTTCTTCAGCGTTGGTGCTCACCAGGTTTAGCTGAGATTCCTTTATGTTGTCAACATCGGCTTCTAGTTGCTGTTGCTTGGTCTTCAAGCCGTCTATTTCATCTACTTTGGACATGACGCTTTCAATTTTTTGCAGCCTCTCGTTAGTGTTTCTTTGAAAGTCCTTTAGGTCATCGCTAAGCTTGGTTATTTGACCAGTGAGGTCAAGTCTCATCGATTTCAACTCTTCAAGTAATTCGGCTGCGGCCATGTTCGACCTGCTAAGATTTAAAGCTTTCGAATAATTATGCTGCTTATCGCTTCTTTCGAGCGCTAAGATTTTTCCCGACCGAAGTCGTTTTCCTGACATGAAGCATAGTTATCAAAAACCAAGATAATTTTGGACAGTATGTGTTAGAAAAACGTTTTTGCAGAGCTCAGCACGGCACGTCTTACTCCATGCTGCTCACGTCCGTATTCTGGAATCAGAGTCCTCGGTGGGAAATATTTCGGCGTCTTGCCGATGCTTATTTTCTATTTGCGTACACCTATTTTTCGAGTACAGTCGTGCTCACAAATCAGCTTTTAACCTGCTCTAAAGCCCAGTGACGCAGCAGACGAAATGGGACGTGTTCACAGCCTTCTTGATCCCCACTTACCGTCTTGTGTACAACACGACTTTTCCCTGAAAGTTGTAAAATGAAATTTAATATCGTGGCAAAGGTCACCGGAATTCGGCGGGGTTCTGCCGGCCGACTACAGCTCCAAATTGATATTCACTTTTCTAAGCTATCTTCCCTTTTCCCGACATTTTCGCCGTGAGTGTGAAGCCGTTCCTGCCGACCAGTACCGCTGTTTGATTGGTGGAAGTCTATTGCAAAGAGGGTATTTATTTCGAAGGTCTCGTACTCGTAACTGTGAAAATAGTGGTAATGTTTGTTATCATCAGAAATTTGTGTTCTTCCAGTATTTGGAAATTAATTGTGCGTACAGATTATCATCTCCGCCCCATGGAAACTACACCTGTTCCGTAATCAGAACCTGTAGAAAGAATTAATTTTGATCCATGCTCGGCCTTGCTCCATCTATACAAATGTTCATTTTATTCACGAGAGTCTTCAATAATTTTGAAGTTTCTGTAAAACTAGTCGAAGAAATGAAGACTTCTTGATCACCATAATTATATAGTACGATTAATTAAAAGCATGTGAACAAACACTTATCTGACTCTTGACTGGTGACAACTTGAGAAATGTTTTCTTGCCTTTTACAGGAAGAATACAACTTGGGTGCCTTTAAAGATCGCATCACCGATAGTAATTCCGTCGATGTTCATTTACCAAGGAGGGAAAGTCCATCTGCCTGTCACATAGAGATGTCGCCATCATGCCTAGACCAGGAATGTACTCAAATCAAAAAGTAAAATGACAACTCATGCATGTGTAAATGGGTACGGTAGAATCACCATTTCTGGAACCCTCGATTTTCGAAACCTTCCGTTAACTCGAACCAAAAGTCNCCCCGAGTTCTCGAACTACCCGATTTTTCAAACCACTCTTCTTTCCCACTGTACTGTGAACCAAATTAAAATTAGTTCCAGGGGTTAATTTATTGATTGATTCCTTTGGAAAGGTTATGTGTACGGAAACTAAAACGGCATCTCCTTATTTGTTTCTGCTGACTTGATTGTTAATCCGATTACGAAGTTGACCCACTTTGTGTCTCAATACTTTAAAGCGTGAGGCAGTAAAAAGAAAGGATTTAGCTGGCCTCGTGCACTGAAAAAAAGGGTTTTATTTTGTTTGCTTTAAGGAATTTCTTTTGTCACTGAAATATGATACAATAGTGAGTTTGGTTCACCTCTTAACAGGAGGAAGATGCAAACTTAAGCTAGCGTCGTTCTTGCTTGATTCTTTCTTTCGACTCCCTACATGCGAATTTGGATTTGTATACCCAAAAAGTGTGTTTGGTATATTGCACGTTAACAAGAAACTCGAAGAACTTAAAACTGAGCTGGGGGACCTTTTGTAAACAATGTCCTGTTCAGCACTGTGAAACTTTTGGAAAATAGTGATGAAAGTCGCGTTATAGTGAGAGGTGTGTGTTAGTCGGGGTGTGTGGGAATATTCTCAGAGACAGTGTCTGTATATTTCACGTAAACAAGAAGGTAGAAAAACTTAAAACTGGGCTGTAGGCCCCTTTTTTGTAAACAAGGTCCTGTCCAGCATAGTGAAACGTTTCGAAAATAGCGATACAAGTTACGAATAACAACAATAATAACATTTATTATTTGTATTGCGCCTATTCTATAAAATATTCAAAAGCGCATCACAACAGTAATTAATAACTAAAATTTTACAAATCTTCCTATCAAAATCATAAAAAATATTTACATTAAATGGGTAAAAGATAATTACAAATAAAGATGTAGATATGCTAAGATAACTAAAATGATTCCTTAAATAAAAATGTCTTAATTAAAGTCTTAAAAGATTCTA